CCCGGGTCCAGGACACGAACCGCGGTCGACTACGTGGGAGTCCAGCGACATAGCCATTACGCTAACTGCTGGTTCCCACAGATTTTTTTTTTTAACTTTATTTATTTTATTTATTTATTTTTATTTGACCAGATACGGACAGAGAGAGAGAGAGAGAGCGCAAGCAAGCCGCCAGGTTCAGGACTTGAACCGCAGTCGGCCATGTGGGAGTCCAGCACCCTCAGCCACTCTGCCACCTGCTGGCCCCAATTACACAGATTTGAGAGGTTTTAAAGTGGAATTGAAGGGGATGCCAGCAGATGGCATAGCAGCTACGTTACTGGACTCCCTCATGGCTAACCATGTTTTGAGTCCTGGGCCTGGTGACTTGAAACTCGGTCCTGGCACCTATGTGTGCATGCCCAAGATCCCAGGAGGAGAATGTAGGAGAAGGGATTGTGGCATGGCCATCTCCCCTGGTGAGTGGTTTCTCACTTTCCCTCTCACTGTCTCTGTCTCTCATTCCCCTGGAGCACATGCCATGTAAGGTGAAAACCTCTACCAAAAAGAAAAGAAGAACACAAAAGTGGAATTGAAGGGAGCTGGCCACTGTTTGGATAGGGCTGAGATGATAGGGAGAAGTATTATACCGACCTCCAGGTTTCTGGCTCATGGAGATAGAAGTATTCACTGAAATTGGGAACAGAAAAGGAGGATCAGGTGTTGGGGGCGTGAATTTAGTTTTGGAGGTGGTGAGTGTAAAGTTCCTTGAGATGTCCAGAAAGCAGTTTTGGGGGTCAGCAGGTGGCGTGGTGGCTAATGGTGCTGGACTTCCACATGGCTGACTGCAGTTCGAGTCCTGGACCTAGTGGCTTTCTTTTTCTCCTTTTTCTTCTTTTTTCTCCCCATCACCTATGTGTGCATGCCCAAGATCCCAGGAGGAGAATGTAGGAGAAGGGATTGTGGCATGGCCATCTCCCCTGGTGAGTGGTTTCTCACTTTCCCTCTCACTGTCTCTGTCTCTCATTCCCCTGGAGCACATGCCATGTAAGGTGAAAACCTCTACCAAAAAGAAAAGAAGAACACAAAAGTGGAATTGAAGGGAGCTGGCCACTGTTTGGATAGGGCTGAGATGATAGGGAGAAGTATTATACCGACCTCCAGGTTTCTGGCTCATGGAGATAGAAGTATTCACTGAAATTGGGAACAGAAAAGGAGGATCAGGTGTTGGGGGCGTGAATTTAGTTTTGGAGGTGGTGAGTGTAAAGTTCCTTGAGATGTCCAGAAAGCAGTTTTGGGGGTCAGCAGGTGGCGTGGTGGCTAATGGTGCTGGACTTCCACATGGCTGACTGCAGTTCGAGTCCTGGACCTAGTGGCTTGCTTTCTCACTTTTTTCTCTTGTTCCATCCCTCTCTGGTCAAATCAGAATAAAGTTCAGTAAAACAACTGTTTAAAAAGCAAGCAAGCAAGCAGTTGGACTGGCTGGTGTTTAGAAGGTGGACTCTCGACTGCAGATAGAAGACTTGTGACCCATCAGTGGTAACGGGAGATAATACAAGTTGATGAAATTGCCAGAGAGAGAGAGTGGGAGTGAGGAGAAGAGAACTGAGAGCAAGACCCAGAGACCAGAGCTTCTGGAACAGCTCTTCGTATCACTCCTTTTCTGACCGAGGGTATTTTGGGACCCATTTTTGCTGTGGATTGAGTCGTCACCTTGTAGTTTTGCCCATAATGGGCATTGAGATTAAGAGGCAAGCTCGCCCCAGGAGGTGTACAGGACAGAACAAGTGCAGAATGAAGACTGCAGGCCAGAGCAGGGGAACTCTACATGGCAGTACTGGCTCTGGGCAGCTCTCTCCCAGGCTGGGAGAGTCAAGGGAGATGTCAGGCACCATCTGCCATTTTACTTCTCATTTTCCTAGTTTGAAAATGGTCTGAGCTGGGCTGGTCCATGGCCTGGTGGTTAAAGGAACCGGATTCCACCTGACCAACTGTGCAGTTCAAACCCTGGCCCTGGTGGCTCAAAACATACTGGGTATTTGTGTGTGCATGCCAAAAATCCCCATAGGATAGAGAAATGGAGGAGAAGGTAATGTGGAGTGATCACTGGGGGAAGGTGCTTTCTTGCTCTCCCTTCCCCTCTGTCCTTTCGGGGCCTCTCTGGCAAACACATGCACCTTCTGGAAGATTTTTTAAAAATGGTCTTGGGACCAGCAGTTGGCGTAATGGCTATGTCACTGGACTCCCATGTAGTTGCCCACAGTTCTAGTCCTGGACGTCGTGGCTTAAACTCACGCCAGGCGCGTGTGCGTGCGTGCCCAAGATCCTGAGAGGAGAATGGAGGAGGAGGGATTGCGGTGTGGCCACCCCCCCTGGGGTGATTTCTTGAGGTGTGGCCATCTCCCCTAGGGGGTGATTTCTCGCTTTAGATTGCAGGGGCCCTATAGCAAAAACCTCTTCAAAAAAAAGGTCTGAGCTTTTCTTTTGCTTTCAGATCCATGAGACAATAGAAACTATCAACCAACTGAAGACCCAGCGGGAGTTCATGCTGAGCTTTGCCAGAGACCCTCAGGGTTTCATCAATGATTGGCTTCAGTCTCAATGCAGGGACCTCAAGGTAAAGAGTTTAGGAAGGGTCCAGAGGGACCAGATCAGTGAAGCACATATCTGCTTCCTTTCTGTAGCAGCTAGTGAAAGAGCTATAGAGAGAAATAATTTTCTTTAGCATGTTCCAGGGTCCGTTTTATACTAGCTCTGTTGTCACTGTACTCTGTGTTGTCAGGGTATGGGGGAATGCCTGATCTCCAAGCATGCTGAGAGATAATAAGCTACTATGATGAAAAAAACTGTACAACATATAAGACGTGAACAGAACTGACCAGTACCAGTAAGATAACTTAAAGGAGGGGCTGGATGCTGGTGCAGAAATAAAACAAGCAGCTCAGCGAGGCTGACCCACACGGGAAGGCTCCAGGTTTGAGTCTAGAGCCCTCCCTGAGTACTCCGAGCACGTGCATGGATTGGGCTGGGGTTGGGGGTGGATTGCGGCATAAGGATTCTGTGGTGGGTGCTGTGTGGGTCTCTGTCTGTCTTGGTCTCTTGCTCATGGAAAGAGTAAATGAATGAACTTTAAAAAATGATAATTCAAAGGAGAAAGGAGGTTGGCAGGGCTTTGTGGAAAATTTGGGATGTAAAGATATTTTCTAGGGAGGGGAGCATGAGCTCGGACGAGAAGATTGGGACAGTCACGGAACGTGTGAGCATGCCCTCAGTCCCCGCCTCTCTGCTGACCGACTGCTATTGCAGGGGCTGGGCAGAGGAGAGGGGAACAGGGGTGCCAGGGAAGATCACTGAACAGGCTTGCGAGTTATTGAGCACAGAAGGTGCTTTGGATTTTGTGTTAGTTTGCCAAGACTGCTGCAGCAGACTCCCACTTGGCTGCTTAAATGATGGGAATTTGTCTCATAGTTGTGGAGGCTGGAAGTCAAGGTATCAGCAGGAGTGATCCTTCTGAGGGCTGTGAGAGAGTCTATTCCATGCCTCTCTCTTAGCTTCTAGACACTTCAGGGAGTCGGTGACTCAGAGGTGGCATTCTTCAAGTGTCTTCATGTTGTGTGCTTTCTGTGCGTGTGTGTCCCTGTCCAAATTTCTCCTTTGTATGAGAACACCAGTCGTACTGCGTTGGGGCCCACCTTCTGACTTCATCTTAACTTGATCATCCACAGGGACTGTTTCCAAATAAGGTCACGTTCACAGGTAGTGAGGTTAGGGTTTCAGCATCTTCTGGGAGGGTACAATACAACCGATTACAGGTGTGAGTGAGGGAAACAAGTCCGTTCTCTTCTCTCCACTCCCATCAGACCATGACCGACGTGGTGGGTAACCCGGAGGAAGAACGCCGAGCTGAGTTCTACTTCCAGCCCTGGGCCCAGGAGGCTGTGTGCCGATACTTCTACTCCAAGGTGGGTTCCTGGGTGCACGGGAGAAAAGGCAGGGGGTCTGCACCCCTGATGGGTGTCGGGTACCAGCTTCTGGTCTATCTCATCTTCCATTCCCTCCACTGTTTTCTTCTTAGGTGCAACAGAGACGGCAAGAATTAGAGCAAGCCCTGGGAATCCGAAATACATAGGGCCTCTCCACAGCCCTGACCTGCTGCACCGATTCCTAACTGGGCCCTGTGCTGCCTGCCCCGTAGCACCTGCCTTGGTCTTGCTTGGGGCCTTCCAGGGGATGCTGTGGTTCAAGGACAACACAAGAATGAAGAGGGTCTCACATTTCTGTCTCACAAGACACCTGTTACCCTCTTCTCCCCCCATCCCTTCCCACCCCCAGCTACATACTTTGCCCCACAAAGTTCCCATGTGCCTCGCCTCTCCCCTGGTCTACGTAGGACCTCTAGGTAGTGTTAGAGAGGAACCCATAGTGGTAATCAGTGCTCTGAATGGATTGGGCCTAAGGCCAGATGGTCTTCAAGGGGACCAGCCACACTGATCCTGCCCTTCAGAGACCCAGGAGTTGGGAGCTTTAGCTTCTTCTCTAAGACTCAGGCCTGGGGGTACTCTATAAGCTAGTTGATCTTGCCTCTCCTGATAACAGAATCCATTTTCCTCCCTTCCCTCCACAGGTTTGGAGCAAACTCTCCCTTCATTTGTTGCCCTCTAGCGCTAAAGGAACGCTGGCTCTTGGGCTCCATTGAGCCCCAGGTCAGTCCCCAGCTCCTGGGCTGGCCTGCTGTCTCAGTGTATCTCTGACTCCTTGGTAGGGGTCAACATCAGTATTGGAGTTTGTCTCACTGTTGCCCTCTCCCAGCACACTCCCTGTAGCTGCCCTTTGAGGATTCCCTCACAGGTGCCCTAACCCAAGGCATCTGCCCTAACCCAAGGCGGTTGATTGGGGGAATCTTGCCTCTTCCTGTCAGGGCCCCAGGGAT